TGGGGCTAGGCGCTAACTGTCCTTGACCGACGCGCGCATACGCCTCAGCGTGGCCGCGCGCCCACGCTAATCTTCGCCCATCTAAAGATCACGTCCGACCGTTAGTCTAGACATCAGCCGCGTGATTGGCTGCCGTAACAAAGCATGCGCCAACATTGCGGCGATTCCTGACTCTCTCGTCAGTCCGGAATTGACGCCCTGGCAGCCGGACTGTAGTCATCCGAGAGTAAAAACTGGTGACCCCGACTGGAAACCGGGCGCAAGTTTGTATGGGACCGAACTTGTATCGTTGGCAGAGGTCACTAGAAGACAGCTACCTGCTAGACCGAAGTCGGCCAAGTTATTATGTGGCAGAGGAAGAAGGGGGAGGCAATGCTAATTTTCGGTTCGATGAAATGCTTAAGATCCATTTACTAGATTCCATTTGTGGACCAGGTGCGCCGTCGCCGACTCAGCGCGGTCACTTTCCTCCCTATAAACAATCTAACGCGCTTGAAGCTATCACAGTGCACTAAAAGCCGTGCCAACTGATAATTCTGGCTACGCAGTCAGTCCATTGGGTGTTTTGTTGTGTGCAGTGGCTGACTGACTGGCAGATTGAAAGTCAGACTGCAATGACTCCTTCTTAATGTGGCCTCTATGGCACTCCCGCATAGCTGGGATCCTGGCCAGGTATGCTGGCACGCATAAGAAGGGCTGTCTTGCGCCCGATCCCGCCTCGGTCTTTACACAGGAGGATGAGGGAAGAACGAGTGCGGTATAGGCTCCACAAGTCTGCTATCAGTTAAAACTGATTAACGCGCAAGTCACTGTCTCTCCACCAACCTATTTAGAGCATACGCTGGGCATCCTCGATACCGATAGCCGAACTGTCATTAGTTTCTGTCCCCAGCTGTTAGTCAGGATTATGATTGGATAAATGAAGGCATAATTAGCTCGAAACATTTCCGTATCAGTCTACTCACATTCTATACTGTTGCTACCACCCCCCTCCCTGCACAGTCTGAAATGTGCAACAAGGTGTTGGATCGTGTTCAGTCTCTCAGCACGTAGAATTGGCGACAGCTATTATCAAGGCCAATACGCTAGAATGCACAGTCATAAAATGATTTTAATTCATACACTTTGAACGCAGGGGACGAAACAAAGACCTACCCAGCTGCGACGTAGATACGACCGGCGAGCTGACATGCTCCGACATAGCACCGCGGCACATTCATACTGGATACCAGGGTCCACTGACAGAGACGGGTGTTGAAGGACTCCACTGTGTCCAGATGCAGCGGGCCTCTGCCCTCAGCGCCACCATATCCACCACACACGTAGATGTTGTCTCCAAGCACGGCACAGCCAGCACCCGATCGGCGCATGTACATGGGCTTGCACATTGACCACGTCCCACGACGCAAATCGTACCTATAGGCCGTAGAATTAATACCGAAATAACAATCAGGGGCACACATACAGCGATAGTAAACCATTAAAAAATACCGATCAACATTTTAATAAAACAAGTCTAAGAGGAAAGCCTCTACAAATTCTAACTGTGGCTCCTCCTTTTTCAACTAAGCAGTCTAACGTTCGCCTAAAGGTTGCAATACACTCGAATTCACCCAAGTGATCAACCATGCTTCCACTCTTTTTCAATAGAATGAATTGGATGCTAAAAATAGTCAACAGGCGACAGAGCACAGGAAAATGGACACCTCTCACACCGTATTTCATATGGTCTTGCGCTAAATGCCGGAGAGGTTCAAGTTAGGGTAAGGATGGGTAGGATTAGAGTGGAATTCAGGAAACGGAAGTAGGTAACCCCAGAATTCGGCATGAGGCCACCTGAAGCAAGCAGGAACCCCATTCCCATTTCCGACTGCTTGAGTCTTACCTGCGTATTAAGGAAACACCAGAAGCTATTCAGCAAAAACTTTAAAGCAAGTAGGTATGGAACAATAGTGTCAGTCAACTTACGCCTCCATGCTGTTCAGTAGCTGAAAACCATCATAACCACCGAGGCAGTAGAGACAGTCGTCAGCCACAACGAGACCGGCGCCTTCTCGAGCAGTACTCATTTCCTCTAGGATGCGCCATTCGGCAATTTTCGGATGATAGACTTCTAAGGCTCGCAGACGGGTCTGTCCATCGAAGCCGCCGCACACATATATGAGACCTGCAACAGCATGTGCAAACAAAGTTATAAGTCAACACGCTTACTAACAATATTTAAGTAGCAATAAGGTAGCAATAACTGACCTTGGTGGGTACATGCTGCAGAGAGCCCACGCTTATAATGCATGGGTGTCAACCAGCGCCATCCCCTTTCGCGCTGGCCCACATCGAGGAGACCAACAGTATTGAGGCGTTCGCCACCGTCAAAACCGCCAATTACGTAAACGCATGTGCCCAGGGAACACGCGGCGACGTAACGGTAGCTGATAGGCAGGTTCTGTAGGGACAAGACAATAAGACGATTAAAACGGGGCGGAAGGTGCTGGGTAAATGGGTAAAGGGGGTCCCTGGACCTCAAAAGCAGCGAATTCTAGTCGATGGGCATGACTGCTAAACTGACCGACCGAGAAAGAAAAACAATTTTCCAAAGAGCTCTCTAGAGGTGCTTGGTGATGTGACAATCCACACACGAGAGCATAAATATAGAGGAGGCGGCTTAAAGTACACCAAGCATCGTGCATGACCTTTCCACAGAATACTAAAGAAGAGCGCGAGGTCGTATAAATCAGGCCTAGCAATTAGGCTGCCAAGATGGTCGAATGCGTCAAATGGCAAACGACTGAACTACCACCTACGTATATTCAAAACAGGATACCTTGGAAGGGACCTTCCACTAACTATGATAACCATTAACCTACCGAACTACTATAGGAGCGCGTGCTTAACTGCCAATAAAAAGCAGGTTAAAGCCCCCTGCACACAAACTTTCCACACCGGCTGCAGCTTGCAATCAGATGGCCCAAACATGTTTTTGTCGATGGAAGGATGCTTATACGGACAGTATTGTATAGTACAGGAGTGAATCCCATGCCACCCGAACCCACGCCACAAGAAGCCGAAGGCAAGCCGACCATGAGAACATCCCACCTCCTCTTTCCTGCTTGCCGGACCCAACGTCCTCAACACGCTGGCACCAGCATGCATGAGACGAGGGAACACCGAGATGGCTAATTACAATCCCGAGGACTATTTAAACACTACATATAGCTGACCGTTGTAATTGTATTGGCCTGATGACCAAATGCTGAGAACATGTGTTTGCCAATACGACTTCTCATTGTATAATATTTTAAACTAGAGATATTTTTAAACAACCAGTTCAAAAAAAGCTATGTAAAACTCAGGAGTAGCTAAAGCCACCTAAAAGAATCAC